ACTCAAATCCGATAACAAAATCCCATTCAAAACCTCAAAATCCCAACTCAAGAGTTCTTCCTCCTTTTCCCCAATTTCTCACCCCAAATCACAAATTAGATGATAAAATAAAAGATGAAATCATGGGATTTAACCAAAACCAAGTAAGAATCACTTAACCCAATCAACTCTACGAAAATTATTTCAAGAATCGCCCAATTCCGTGTTCTCTAGCTCAAAATATGTAAAAATGGGTTCAAACCCTCATTTTTTAAATTAATACTGCCTGCCCATATATCCTTCATCGCGATCGCGAAGCACAACTATGCTGCCCCATATTTGTACCCTACGCGAAAGCGCAATCACTCACGCGATCACGGATCACTGCCGCTCATACCTACGCGATCGCATCCTTTCTCACGGATCGCATAGAGCATTGGCCACACCTACCTTCCTGCTCAAATCCTTCTACGCGAACGCGTCCTCAGCCACGCGTTCACGAAGCACAAATTCGCACACATACGCGAGCGCATTCTTAACTCTGTGATCGCATTGAACAAACTCACCTCTGCCCCAAATAAGCTTACGTAATCGTGAATGGATCCCTGCGATCGCGTACAAGGAAACCAGAACCTACTGAAACCAAAACTTCAGCTATCAAGCCAAATCCAAAAATGATTTGTTAACCACCCAAAACTCACCCGAGGTCTCCAGGACCTCAACCAAACATACCAACATATCCCAAAATATCATACGAACTCAGGCAAGACTTCGAATCACTCAAAACACCAATTACACCCGGATTCAAGCCTAAAAAACTTCTAAACTTTCAAATTCCACAAACGACGCCGAAACCAACTAAATCACGCCCGATTGACCTCAAAATTTACACACAAGTCATATTCAATATTACGGACCTATTCCAACTTCCGGAATCAGAATCCGGCCCCGATATCAAAAAGTCAACCCCCGGTCAAACTTCTCAAAATTCGACTTTCGCCATTTCAAGCCTAAATTAGCTACAGACCTCAAATTCACAGTCCGGATAAGCTCCTAAGTCCAAAATCATCCAACGGAGCTAACACAACGGACGAAACTCCATTCCGGAGTCATCTTCATAGACTTCCGACTACGGTCAAAATCCTAAGACTTAAGCTTCCGTTTTAAGGACTAAGTATCCCAAAACACTCCGAAATAAAAAAACAAGACCTCCCGGCAAGTCACATAAGCAGAAACAGATACGGGAAAAATAATAAATAGGGAATTGAGACTAGCACACTCAAAACGACCGGAAGGGTAATTACACGAGCTCGCACCTCGAAACCCGACAAAACTTATAAAATCCGATAACCCATTCAATTACGAGTCCAACGATACTAATTTCACTCAATTCCGACTCCGAATCGATGCTCAAAACTCAAAAATTCACTTTAGGAAAGTTTAGACAAAACCCCCCAATTTCTCTTTTGAAATTATCAATTAAATGCGAAAAACGAAGATGAAATCATAGAATATAATCAAAACCGAGTAGAAAATATTTACCCAAATCCATGTGGTAAAAATTCTCTCCAAAATCGCCCAAATCCGAGCTCCAAAACCATTTGAGAAAAAGTGACTAAATTTCGGAATAAGTAAATAAATGAAGCAGTTGTTATAGCTCAAATCAGATCCAAGATGACCCCAAAAATCATATTTAATAAACCCAACGTAATCCTTGCATGATTACACCCAAGATAGCCTTTTGAATCACCCAATTTGACCTTAAAATGAGGAAGATATGATGTTTTGAAGCTTTAAAGGAAATCTGAAACTTTAAGCAACAAAAATGACATGTTTGTAATTATTTTGCACCAGAAAATCAACAAAAAAATAATTTTCGTTTTAGCACCCAAAACTCATTCGGAACCTTCCGTACACAAATCATATATGTATTTCAATCATAAAATACGCTACGAACATGCTCGCGTACTCAAAATACCGAAAAGATGACATCTTGAGCAGATATTGACCATGGTCAAACTCCAAATCCTTAACTAGTTTTTCAATCAATGATCCAAAACGCACCCGAGCCCCTCTGGACACCTTTCAATCATACCAACAAGTCATAAAATATGATACGAACTTATTCGAAGCTTTAAATCACATCAAACAACATAAAAATCACGAATCGCACCTCAAATCAAACTTAATGAACTTTTAACTACCAAAACTCTTGCCGAACCATATCAAATCAACTCGGAATGACCTCAAATCTTGCACACAAGTTTCAAATAACATAACAAAGTTATTCCAATTCCCGAAACCAAAATCCGAACCCGATATCACTAAAGTCAACTTCCGGTCAAATTTATGAACATTCCAAAACTCCAAATTGCTAACTTTCGTCAATTAACGCTAGAACCTTCAAAAAATATCCAAATACAAATTTGGGCATACGTCCAAGTCCAAAATCACCATCCAGACCTAACGGAACTATCAAAACTCCGATGCGGGGTCAAATACTCAAAAGTCAAACTTGATCAACTCTTCCAACTTAAGCTTTCTAGTTTAGAATTATTATTCCAAATCAACTTCGGATCATCTGAAAACCAAAATGGACAATTCACACAAGTCATAATACATCATATGAAGCTATTCAAGGTTTTAAACAACTGAACGGAATACAAATATTCAAAATGACCGGTTGGATCGTTACAATTTTAATCCCTCACTGGCGGAAGTGGTTCATTTTCTTTTTACATTTTTATTCGATTTTGATAAATTCATGTTTACTTTATAGTTGATATTCTCTAAATGTTGATGAGTTAAAAGAAAGGCTGCTCGGAGCCGCTTCAGTACTCAGTTGAACCAAATATTTTCAATACATCGTATATTACTCCATTCATATCAATTTATGTGATGTTATTTGATATTTAATACGTCCCAAAAAATTAATTTAACTTTAAGCTTTTCTTTTTATTTTTAATGAGATTATTTATAGTCAAAAAAATTATTTATAGTTTGTTTAGACCATAAATTTTAAAAATCTTTCGTAACTTTGTGCTCAGTCAAAACAACTTGACATAAATTGGGTTCAACTGTAAGATTTTAAAAGTCGAATCCATCAAGTTTAAATTATGAATTCTCCTTTGTTCCTAGCATATGTCTATTCTCGGCTGGTTGATTCTTGATTGCTTTTTTGAGCATATGTTATACTTCATATGTATATTATACTATTCGACGACTGCTTTTAGTTTAAGCAGCTGAATAGACAACTATTTAGAATAATTCCTCTAATTAGTTAGGAACCTCAATGGGTTGTACATGATTCTATTTTAGCTTTTGAATTAATGTTGTAAAATGGTGGATCACAAAACTTAGTAGATATTGCACTACTTCTCACCACACAATTTTTGAGAAAATGAAAGCAAGACTTGGAAAGTCTTTGGACCGATTAGAGGAATAATGTGCCACAACATTTACGGTGGCAAGACTCGAATGATTTGGTTTTCTCCATTTTCCACATAACCTGGAGAATTTCCCTACAAAGACGTGTAATTTATCTTTAAAAATAAAAATTCATAAAAATATGCTTTGAAACAAGTGGCATGTGCATCGCCATGAGTGCTCATCACCCGTGATTCGTTGTGATCTGAAGCCTAGTAACGTCTTGTTGGATGACAATATGGTTGCCCGCCTTAGCAACTTTGGTATTTCAAAACTGCTCGGTGAAGATGAGACTGATTTGTTCACTAAAACCTTAGCAACATTGGGCTATATTGTACCAGGTAAGTCTCTTTATTTTGCTTTGAACATTGATTATCCTTTCCTTTTTTCATCAATAAATATTAAAATTTAAAATTGTTTGATTGTGTAGAGTATGGACTGGCTGGATTGGTGTCAACAAAATCTGATGTCTATAGTTACGGAATCATGTTGTTGGAAAATTTTACAAGAAGGAAGCCTAATGATGAAATGTTCGATGGTGATCTTAACCTGAAGCAATGGGTGAGTTATTCAATCCCAGAGGCAGTAATGGATGTTGTAGATGCCAACTTGTTAACACCAATGGATAATCACTTAAACAAGAAGCTAGATTGTGTGGCATCGATCATGAAAGTGGCACTAGATTGCAGTGCTGAATCTGCTGCAAGAAGGATCGACATGAAAAATATTGTAGGGATGCTAAAGAAGATCAAGATTCAACTTCTTCGTGTTGAGCATGTTCTTGGATACTCTTGTTCCAAATCACCGTTTGTCGCAAATGTTTTGCTAAAATTTTGGATTCATGTAAAGATTGCCTTTTTATTTTAGCACTTGGGGTTGTACAAGTTCTGTTTTAGGTTTAGAAATGCGAATTGCAATAAATCTTCATATTTCCTCTTAAAATTAATGTTGCAAAGTAGTGGATCACAATTATCAGAGGAAGATAATTAGACAAAAAGAGCTACTATTTCAACCAAATAATGAGAAACCAACGAGGTTAATGATATAAACAGTCCTTCATATGCTAATTTTATATAAAACATAACATTTGTTTTTGTTTATGACCTCTTACGATAATATTTTCTATTTAATGTTTTTTGGGTGTCTAATGTCCTCTAAGCATTATTTATCGGATTTGCTTTAGTGATTTTGAGAAATATTCATAATATCCACTAATTAGATAGGAAAAATACATAAGTTACTCCCTATACTTGTCCCGAAAAGTCAATTTTAGGCTCGACCTTTACGGATGTCCTATTACCACCCTATCCTTATCCTAGATGAATTTATTTAACCCTAAAATGCCACAACCAAATTCAACCCAAGTAGTGTTTACACGTGCTGACACGTGGCATTTTAGCAGGGTATTTTTCATTTGTTTCTTTCTTTTACGGGAACAACCAAAGAAGTGACATTTTCAGAAAACGTTTTTCTTGATGGAACCTTTGCAAGAGAAGCTAACCGACTATATTGACAAGAAAATGGTCTCTCTTTTTGGATTTTTCTTTTCCTTTTTCTTTTTTCCATCTTGATCAAAAGATAAAAATATAAAGTGAAGTTAATGTATAGAGCACAATCGCAAAGCAAGAGGAAGCTAAGAAAGATCCAATAAAGTGTTGGGTTTTCGTTTCCACCTTTATAATTGTTTGCTCCGGTCAAGTTGTGAAGAACAACTGGAGGGTGGAGGAGGTGATAAAATAGGTGGAGAAAGAGCTACCAATCTTTAATTTTTGTTCTGTTTCGATTATGATTGTATGGTGTTGCTCTCCTATGACAATGGAGGAGAGAGAAAGAAGAAAAGGAAAGAGGAAAGAGAAGAAAAGAAAAGCGCGAAAATGAAAAAGAACAAGGAAAATAAAAATAAATATGGTTAGTATTATACTAATTAAATACAACTAATTAAGTGTAATTAAATGTAACAACCAATGGAAAAATAACATATGTAAAATTTAAGTAGTATTTTATGTTTTTTCAGCCTCCAACGCGCTTTGAGTAAGGTGAAATTAGTTTCTCTGCCACCTCACCTTTGAAGGAGGTATTAATTTCACTATGAATAAGGATAGGGTGGTAC